TGACTCTATAATAAGTTCAGGTAGCTGTCACTGTTTATTCTATCTTGAAAGAAATAAATGTCTGTTTTGATTACATCAATTTCTGCGTTACTTAAATCATTATATGTATCTTTCTTTATGTTTTTTTATTATTCAAAGTCTTCTCTTCATTTGTTTGTTCTTTCTGTTTGTTATTCTTTAGCATAAACAAACATTTCAATAATAGAATTATTTTTGTAATTTCATTTTTTCACTAGAGGCGGTAGATATACTTTTTATAAAGTACAAAGACAAATGTGTACTTTTAAAAATAAATTAAAATTAAAGATGCCGTTTATTTTTTCTTTTTATTGATATAAATGATTAAGAATTTCAAATTAAATTTGATGATATTATTCTATTCTTTATGTCATAAAAGTTTATTTTTATCTGAGAAATTATTTTGTTTATTTTGTGTAGTTTTTCTTTTACTATCTAATTTTTATGTTAGACTTTTTGTTCACTCTTTTCCTATATTCTTTTAAATGCTAAAATTTCACTGTAAATCGGCAAGAATAAATATCCTTTTAAGAAATCCAGGAAAAGTAAAATTATCAGTAAAAATACCACGGCATTAGTAGAGTATAATTTGTTACAGTTCGTAAAATTTAATACGTGATGCGAATTTAATTTACAGATACTTGCTATCAAGATCAAAACGTACATGTAACAATTTAAGAAATGAGTATTGTAAAAGAAAATTGCTATCAATGCTTAATATATTTTATTTTTGTAACAAGATCGATTCACATAAATCTTTTGTATAGTGTTATATAATTAAAGCTTAATTGTTTAATAGACATTTCATGTTCTAGTCTAGTAATAAAATTGCGCGCTTTTTCGGGTTCAGTATCGATTTCTTATCATTAACGCATGGAATGAACCGCGGCAAAAAAAACTCGATCTACGGATGATGTATCTCGTACACAATGCATATGAGTTATTTATACGGAACGCGGTCGCGATTACATATAAACTCGGTGGCTGCTTTAAGTTGCGTCTTGCTAGACTTTCACTATTCGTGTACTTTCACCATTGAAAATTAGCACCATATATTTCGCCCATTCTCAGGAGAGGTGCGCGCGATTAGGCTATCCCTATTTTGAGCAAGAATTCGGTTATACTGCGATTCGGCAGATTGCCCGCTCATCCGACGAGTTTTAATAATCGGTATTTTTTACCGTTAACCAGCTGATGACTTGCGAATATTCGCAGAAGCGAATTTCTCCTTAATATTTAGCCGATTGTTATAGAGAATGACGCTATTATCACATTTTGACTTCATTAATTACATGTTTTCTGTATTACATAATTTTTTATTACTACTATTTTAATTTATCTGTTATTGATTGTTATTAAATTAGGTTTACATAATAATTATTATTGGACTGAGTTTACATATATTTTATTAAACTTGTGTTATATATTTTATCAAATTTGTGTTAAAAATTCTCTTGCATCAATTCTCTTGATCTCAATTTTGGTCGTTTTTATAATAGGCCAGGTTATAAATTTAAAATATAGTTATTAAAAATTAATTACTGTCTGCATAGTGAAGTTTATGCAATATCAATATATACAATTAATATATAACAAATTGAAGAAAATTATTTTTATACACACATCATATAGAATTCTACTAATATTAATTAAAATTAACTGTAAATAAAATTTACATATGTCCAAAATCGGGATGTAAGATATTAAAAAAATATAATACGTTTTAAAGATGTTACTAAGACGTCATGCAGCTAATTTTGAAAAATGCATAAACTATCTAGTTAATGTTTAATTGTACCCAAATACATTTTATATTTTGAAATATAAAAATTATTATAAAAAGAAAAAAATTATCAATTTTTAATTTAATACGGAACAAAAAAAATTGATAACAGAAAAATAATTATATTAGACAATTAATTTTTCTAGAAGAAAAATATATAATTTTTTCTGTTATCAATAGTGTGTTTGTCAGTTAAATAAAATATAATGTATGTGTCGCAATATTGTTACACAGTATTCGTTACCTACTATTGGTAGCAGGTACATGCACTAATTTCTATTAAAAAGAAGCTTGAAAATAAATATGTCCATTTTAAATAGTCCTCATGCATTAGTGCTTCTAGGTTGTGTTCCAAAATTCACTGCCAGCGCTAAATCTACAGTTTACATAACGTGCACTATAGATTTTCAGATATTTCAAAATTCACTTGTGAATTTTGGAATATAGATATGTATATTATGCATAATGCAGTCCATTAATTCGCTGCGTCATAGTAGCAGTCTGACTTATCGATCCCATTTTTAATAAAGTAGTGCCTATAAAGCATTAAAAAAGCATTCAATTATATCTTACAGATATAATAATAAGAGACTTTTTTTCTACCTGTCCTGAATTTGTTTAACAGTATCAAATTGACGAAATGCTCGATATAACACTGTTAAAATGGAAATTATATGTTTTACATTTTCAATATCTATTTTAGGCTTCAATTATTGTAATTTTTAATTATTATCTTTATTACACAATTATATTTTATAGTCATAACAATGGCATAGAAACAAACAATGTAAGACAGAATAAAATTGAAAACCATGCACCTGTCGGAAATATCTGTTGGTTACACAGTTTTCTATGTGCATGCTTATGCGCAAGCTACAGTCGATTCATTTTGATCTACAGATGATCGAAAAGAAAATTTAAAAAAATATCAACAGTAGAGAGTTCGAGATCCAAGAAGAATATTATAAATGCTAAAGATATGACGTGTATTTTAAGATATTATTTTAAATATTAAATTCGAGCGCGATTCAATTGTGTTATAATATTCTAATATTGCAACATTAATACAATATTGATGATAAATGACATTATGTAGAATATATCGAAAAATAATTCAATCTAAAACATGAAGATATATTTTTATATATTAATAATATAATAAAATTTAATTTATTATTAAAGTTTTATTTTGATTTTTTGAGAAAAAAATTTTACATATTAAAAATTGGACAGTATTACATACAGTATTACTTTTTTAAAACTCGAATAATTTTATGCCAGCAAAATCATTTAAACAGTAATTATAAATTTTTATTTTTAATTATAAATTTTTAAGTTGATGAGAGAAAATCATGAAAATTAATATAGATTTCTGTAAAAGTTAAAAGAAAAACATTTATAATTTGATTGAAATTAGAAGCCTACCAGTCAAAGCAGGATCTTCAATGTTTTTTAAATCATTTTAAATAAATAATTTTTATGTGAATTTATATACTAAATATGTAGTTTTTTTTTATTTGAACTATGCTCCGAAATTTTTCAAACTTATAAACGCAAACTATTAGGTGTACAAATAAGTTTCCGCCGTTTTTTATAAAAAATTAAGCATTTATTGTGAAAGAACGATACATAAAATTTTATTGATGTAAGTCAAAATGTAAGTGCAAGTTCTTTTTGCGTTTGGTACGAATCTTCATTCAATAATGCTTCCAATTCCGCGTCTTTGTACATTTTCGACTTTCCGCTACGTTCTTTGTCTTCGACGTCAAATTCCGTTCTTAAATTTTTGAAACCATTCACGACACTTCTCTCACTTAAGGCAGCCTCATCATATGCTTCTACAAGCAATCGATGAGCCTCAGCTGCAGATTTCTTCAAATTAAAGAATTAAATCAAAAGTTCCCGCAAATGACGCTTATTCGGCATTTCAAAACTTGGCATTTTCGCACACAAAAAAATATATGATGCTGATACAAAATCGCTAGTATTTCAAGGTTATGTTGTTGACAGATGTCCAACCTTACGATATAATGTTTTACATCAGACAATAAACCATAGCTTTTAACCAGACTACTGAAACACTAACTACTCTCGGCTGAGTAGTAACTAGCCTCAGTAGTAAAGACTTAGGATGCTCATACGGAATATAAGAGAATTCGGGTTCAACTCCCGGCCGAGTTGATATAATATTTTTCGCAATAAATTTATTTACAGTTTTTTAGTACATCTTTCTAATAGGATGTCAGATTGAGCATCAAATTATTAAATTACTTATTAATTTAATTTGTGATATTACTATAGTAGTTTGATTGCATTTATAAGTTTAAAAAATCATTGTGGCGCGCAGTTCATATAACTATTATTAAAACGCATTAAAGATCCAGCTTCAACCGGTACTAGCTTCTGATTTATTGATTGTGTTTTTACATGTACGGTCTAAAATAAGATTCTTGTTATTGTAATTTGTTAAATAAAACTTCACTTGATTATATTTTGTTATTTATAATTTAAAAAAACATTAAATGTTATTTCTTATGTAAAAAAAGAATAATGTTAACATAATTAATTCTAGAATTAATATATGTATTTTATCACATGTGTTTATGAAAGTATTAATTAGAATATTTAACGGAATATGTAAAGTAAAAACAGAGTGCTCTCTGAGAGAATAAGATTTTAGACAAAAATAAAATATTTTTAATCTTAAAAATTTAATTTAATTCAGTCTGAAATTTATTTATTATTATTTTGCATTTAATTTAAAATGCAAAATAATAATAAATAAATGTCAGACAAATGCATGTAAAAAAATAAAAAAATGTGATAAATATGCATGTAAATCCTTTTAATTAATGAATTTTTTGTTTCTGTCTTATTGGAATTTTGTGTCATATTATCGTTAGTTAGAGGTTACAATTCACAGCAATATTTTAATTATAATAATGCTTTGGAAACTATTATTATTTTTTAAAATAATAATAATAATTTCTTACTACCCGTATAGCACAGAATTTGCAGCAATATCGCTGCAAAATTTCTGCAACATGCAATGTTGCAACAGTGTTCCTGTAATTTTTGTGCAACTTTGTTTTGAGCTATAGGGATAAATATTCTGCTCCTACAAAATAAATAATGTATTTTCTTCTTTATCCTCTTGATATGAAACACGGCAAGAGTTTGTTACTATTCTATTTTTGAAAGAGGATATGAGAAATATGAGCAAAACGTGAAATTATAATTCTTGAGGAGTACAAATATTCATAAAAATCATCTCTTTAAAGAGATTTAAAATCTTTCCTCTTTTCGGAAAGAGTAATTTATCGGAGAATGAATTTCGTTTCGGCATCTTAACTGGGAAGAGTAATATATTTTTTTATCATTTTGGCAATTTCAACGCTTTATCCAGTCTCTGTTTTTCGTTAAACTAGCCAACGCACACAAATTAGTAAACACACATTCGCACATATATACTCGTTCACATATATAATATACATAAAAAGCGCGAAAAAATCTTTACACGTAAAAAAACTTCGCTGCGAAGCACTCAGGAAGAATGCAATTAAGCCAGGCTCACAAATTCCGATGAGCAAATTCAACGCGCTTCTTCTTTCATTTTTCATTTCTTTTTTTAATATTCTCTGCTATTTACAGCTTTTATTCGAACGCACTATGAGGACAGCGACTGTGGTGCAATGTGGAAGTGCTTTAAATAATGATAATTTGCAATCAAATGTACACTCGACGTAAATTGCAGTCTTTTTAAATTAGAAGTTTCTCTCATTATTCATCAAAGCCTCGATTGTCGATGAACACGCGATTTCTAAGGCCGCTGTCTGAGATATAACCAGTGGCCATTTTATACTGATTTGCATATATCACACCCTTTTTGTTGCCGTTCTCCTTGATGTCTCCTTGATCTTTAGTTACGTTCTGTTCCTTTTCATCTTTTTGCTTGCCTACAGCATTCTTTAAATTCTTCTTCTTGTACGCTTCATTATAGAAGTTGCGGAAGAGAGAATAGAAGATTATAGCGTGCATGCCTATCAACCAGACGAAAGCCTTCGGGTAATTGCAATCGATGAAAAGTAATTGGAATGCGTGGATCATTACAATAACGAACTGGATCATTTGCAAAGTGGTCAAATATTTCTTCCACCACAGATATGGCTGTATCTGTGGTCCGAGCGCCGCTAAGAGGTAATACGAATACATTATGATGTGTACAAAGGTATTCAGAAAACCAAAGAAAGTGCTGTGACCACCTGCAAGAAATGAAGACTATGTTACGATCAGAGAGACAATACTGTTTCTTGCTAATTTTATCACAAATTGTGAAATATATATAATATCTTTTAAAATCTATTAACCAACCAATATAATTAATAAAAAAATATATTAGGTGTTGGAATTAATTCGTAGCGTTTTACAAGTGATGGGAAGTACTTTCATTAATGTATTTTTTAATGCTCATGTGAAATAAATAACATTCTTTCATTAAAAAACGCTACGAATTAATTCCAACACCTAATACATATTTAATAAAAAAAAATATTTAATCAGAAATTGTATAGTAAACATATAAACTAAAAATAAATGTTTAAAATTTAATATAATATTAAAATCATTTTAAAAACATAATAGAAAAATTTTTAAAAAATGTTTATAATGTTTAAAATATCGTTATTATGTAAGACGTTTAATTTAATAAAAGTAAATATTTAATGTTAATAACGTCTGTTTAAAGTTTTTTCTATAAAAACTACTTCGATTAAATATTTTTTGAATATAACTTGTCTGCTTGGATAATTTATTTAAAATATTATTTTCGCTTTTTCTGATGATAGTAAAAAAAAGTTTTTTCTTTCAGCCTTGAAAGTTATTTATTCGAATGTATTGAGCATTCGACGATTTCAATATTCTATTATTATTTTAAAATTTAATACATTTATTCGTAAGATTTTTTGTAAAAATACATTTAATCAGAATATCAAAATATAAGATCTGTTTTCTGTGGCTGAACTAGTATATATACTTTTGGAACTTAAAATGAGATAGATATATGTTTGATATTTGTTGAAAGTAAGAAAGTGCAGTCTAGTGCAGGAAAAGAGAGATCAATAGTGTAATGACTATAAGTGTCAATAATCATTCACAATTATTTGAATACGCTGTTTTATACTGTACTTCAATTTCCAATGTTAAATAAGATCCATACTATTATTAATACAAATATTTTACAATAGAATAATTGACGCCGTTTTTGTTGTATATGTATTCTAATTGTACACATTCTAAATTGAAATTGAGAAAGTGAGACAACGTTCACCGAACTATCTGTAATTAATTTCTAATTTAAAATGAGACATCAAACTACAGAGAAGTCTATGCATCATTCTCCTCTACAAAATCTTCAAGATGCATGATGAGAAATGAGATTATTATATCTTCGACATGCATTGCGCGCAGACGCCGCGCCATAGATTAAAGTTTATTTTTAAGCTAATTTAAAAAAGCATTATTATCAACTCATTAGCTACTGTAATAATAAATTTCTGCCTCGATATAAAATTTTGTAAAGATAAAAAAAATATTAAATGACAAATCAAAATCACAAAGGTATAAAACATTTTAATAATAAATATAAAAAAACTAATTTCTATATTCTTTCTATGTATTTAACATGAATTTTACGTCATTTCTATATGTTTTTCATGAATTTTACGTCATTTGGTTAAAAATATTTTTTTTAATCATAAAAAGTTCGTTTTTTACTCGATACTTTTCTTTCAAAGTTAAAAATATCTGTTTTGTTACATGTCTAGGAATTAGCAACTTAAACAGATAATTTACGTTTAAAAAAAATGTTTAATTATTTAAACCGTTAATTATTTTAACCGTTTTTATGTGAGATTTATCAATTTAATAGATTATTAACGTATATTTAACGTGAATTTAATGTTTTTATCACAAAAACCGTTTTAATTAAACGTTTTTTAAATATAAATTGTTTGCTTGAATTGTTAAATCTTTGGAAAAATCTAAGGAAAAATCTAAATCTTTGGAAAAATCTATCTATTGAAGAAAATGAAACGTGTATATCTCAAATAGACTCTCTGGTAAAAAATTTATGCATGAATATGTATAAATATGCATAAACATATATAAATATGTATAAATGTTTATAAACATACATAATTTTATATGAAGTATGTCCATACATGTTCATACATCCTTTTTTCTTTGATGAAATTACTTTTTAATGTAATAAAAATAATAATAGTCATGTGAAAACATTAAAAATAATTAAAAGAGTATTATTTGTTTTAAAAAATATCAAGTTTGAGGAAATGTAAAAAATTATTTATGTATTGTGTGTATGAGCTTTTTTTATATTTTTTCAAACTTGTTTTTTTCTAAAAAAAATTATTCCTTTAATTATTTTTGATGTTTTCATACAACTACTATTATTTCTGTTATACTAAAAAGTAATTTTATAAAAGAAGGAGGGATGAACATGTATGGACATATTTCATATACTGGGTGTCTCAGAGCACCCGTACCACCTTTTTAAAAGGTAGGGATGTGTTTGTACAAAAAAATGGTTCAGACAAAATTTGCAGGATTTCGGTAGATCTATCTGATGGTGACCTTGAATTTGACCTTGAGGTCGACCTTGGGCATAACTCAAGGTCAAAGTACCGTTTTACAAATGTAAACCCTTATTCATGACATCACAAATGAAAATAGCGGAAAATTTTACGTCCGAATACGTTATCAAGCCTAGGTCAAAATTACTCTTAGAGGTCATGTGGAGGTCAAGTTACTTTTAGAGCACCCGTACCAACCTTCTAAAAGATATGGATGTGTTTGTACAAAAAATAATTCAAACAATACTAGGTATTTATTAGCTATGATGCATCCATCTGCTGGTGAATTTGAATTCTACCTTTAGATTCATTTGTAGTCGTGTACATCGATTTTTAAAGATTCCTAATTATCAAGATCTTGAACAGTCGATGCCGCCTGTGTCAGCGTTACCCAAGATGTA